GGCGGGGCGGGGGGCAGCCCGCGAATGTGTGGGCAGCGCGAGCCTGTGGTCGGGGCGTGGGGCCCACGGCGGCGCGGACACAGAGAAGTCTAAACACCTCACGGTGGTGCCCCGCGAAAAGAAATAAATTATCTGCACTAAAGAAAAGGTAGAGTAACCCTCCTATGATGGTATGGTCACATGCTTTTCGGTGCACTGGCCGCGTCGTCTAGGACTCCTCGCCGCATCATTGATTACAGCTCGACGTGACGTCAAAAGTAAGTGCCGTCGTGCGATAAAATAATAGAATAAACGTGTGATTGGCCGGGCTGGCGGGAGGCAGTAGTGGCAGCCCGGGGGGTTCATTGAGGTAGCGCGAGGGGAGAGAGAGAGAGAGAGAGAGAGAGAGAGAGAGAGAGAGAGAGAGAGACGCGTATACACCAGCAGCAGCCGAGATGGCAAATATATACTCTGCTGCAGTGCTTCCGGTGGTGCCCGCGCCTCGCCCCGCGGCCACCGCGTGGACCCCCTCGCGGAGACTCGCCACTCTTGTGCCCGTCAGCATCATCATGATGGCTCCGTAAACACACGATACACTTTCCTGTAAACATTTCACTAGCGATGGCGTCCGCGTGGCAAGGCGGCGCTGCGCCGCGGTTGGCTGTCCTGGTCTGGTCCCTCTCCAGCCCCGGCCACCCCTTTTCCCCGCCGCCGTCAAGTGCTTTGCATGGCCCACATGAATGTAAACCCTTCTCCGTCGACGACGGTAAACACATGCACGACGACAAATAAGGGTGATAAAAAAGAAAGAAACGAGTCACGGCTCAACAAGTGCTGCTCAACAACAGCCAGCACGCGGCCGGAAGGGGATGCCAGGAAGGGGAGAGAGAGAGTCCGCGCCCCGCCCCGAGCCCTTGACTCACTCCTTCCTCCCCTATGTAAATGGCCCCGGTGGTTGGTGGTAACCCTTTCTCCTGCTCTACCTGTCGTCGGCGTCGTCCCCTGCGACCTGACCTGATTATTCAACAACGGGGTGCGGCAGAGGGGACCCCTCCATTCCACCTCCATGATGGGGAGTGTATAACGCTCGTGTGATAGGCTATTAGCCGCGCACGCATGCATAAAACGGTAAGGGCGCGGCGCGATGGGGTTGTGTGTGTATTGTGATAGATGGAGTCTCGCGTCCCTGTTAATTCGATTGCCGTATACACAATGCACACGCACGGCATGTAAAAAAGCCGATGAGGGGCTGGCGGCGGCGGGGTCAATGAAGATAAAGGGTTGGTAGTGTGCCGCTCGTTAGCGGCGCCGTGCATAAAAAAATGAGGGGGGAACTGAGCGAGAGGGGAGAGTGTAAAACAAATATTGAGACGTATACGGCGGCTGCCGTGTTGGATGACCGTGCATGCATATGGTTATTGAAGGTGATCACCAAACAAATTGTGGGTTAATGGTCTTCAAGGACAGGGGACCATTTTTTTTTCTTGTTCCCTTTTGGTCTTAATTGAATGACAATAGCAGGCGTGGGAAAAATATAGGTGTCGCATGCAATTTTCAATTCAAAAAGACTGCAGGTTCTTTTTTTAAGTGGAACAGGAAAATACAAATTAGCTCATTGGGCAGTTTCGGGCATGATCCTGACTTGGCAATTTGTCATACCGACCGTAACATGTTCGGTTGGACAGAGCTGAACCAAATCGAGAGCCTCGGGAGACAGTAAAAACACACATGAGTTTTGTTATTCATTTTCATTCATACCAGGTGGCTGATTCACGCCTCGCACTTCTGTAGTTATGCTGTACCGCATGCACGAGTGCGGGCGGGTTGCCTACTCGCTCGGCTCGTGAGGCGCCGTGGACAGGGGCGATAGGCAAGCCTGCCCGCACT